GACCATCATTTTGGTGCGAGATTCAATTGTGTCGGGAGACACTGTAAAATAGACACCAAGTCTGAGAATCCCAAATATTACGGAAAGGGGTGTAATTTCCGGGGGATTTTAATTACAAGATCACGTTCATTGATAGATTCCAGATTTAATAGTAATTTGCATATCATGTCATGTATAATCTAACCATCTGACGTTAGTGTATTTATAGTCTTAAGTTTTACTGAATAAAGCAGTTATCGTATGGTCGTAGTCTCGTCTATGACACCTTACCACTGCCTCGTTGTATATTTATTTCCGAACTACTGAATTCTCTTCTGCCCTACTTCCATAAATTGCAAATTGGTTATTCTGATGTTCACATTGCGCCCCGTTTAAGAATATGTTATGACCATACCGGCGTTTTTGTTTGAAATAACGAAAAAGATTGAGAGGAGAAATCCCAAGACAAAGCTAATTCCTGGTAATTTGAATAATGAATTCTTGGTGTTCGAGTTTCCCAGACAAAGGCAAAGACATTGAGATTTACTAAAAAAATGTTTTAAACTCATTTGCATATGTAAAATAAAAATAAAATATCATCTTATTAATAAACATGACTATTTAGGCATTAATTCTATTTTTTTTTAAATCTCATCATTTCAGTATTGATTTACCTATCAAAACTAATAGTTTATATTTTTCTTCTGATTTTTTTTTCGGTTTACGGTTTTTAATAAATACACCAATGCTGGCGCCCAGTACCCGTGCACATTTAGTGTAAACAATATATTTAACATACGTCGCATGGGACCCATATCGAACACGGCGCGGCGTGACGACTGTGACATTGTGAAGTACGGAAATGGTTATATTCATTTGTTCATTATATTCATTCTGAATACTTTGTTCAAGGAACGTTATCCTCAGAACTGCGCATGCGCGTATTATGCTGCTCTTTTATTGTCCTTCTATTCTCTGGCTGGTTATCACGCACGCAACGCGCGCACCATACGCACCGCGTGCACCATAAAACACTGCACGCACCGAACACACTGGACACCGCGTTTCTTTACATTTAAGGTAGAAGCCTACTCATGAATGCAATTACTTAGAATTAATCCTTTTTTCAATATATTTTACTTCTAGGCAATATAAAAATGTTGTTTTAAAAAAAGTTGTGGGTCACCAGCTTATTTTTCGAGGAAATGATGATTGTATTTTAGTAGATAGTGGCCATTTTGGTAGATTATCGTGTTTTTTCCATAGGTTTCTATGGCAGAGACAATATGTCATATCTTAATTGTAGGCTGGTGACATAGGCTAAAAAATAATATATTGTTAATGATGGGGTACTTTTTATTTTCTTGAATTATTTCAAAAATCGGGGTTTTAAAAAGTATTTTTTTTAACATTATACTCTATAGAATTGTTCTAAACATTTCTCAAAATAGTCACTGTAACACACGAAAGAATGCCATTACCTGATGCAATGAGACATTAGCTTCACCGTTTTACATAATAAACTAATGAACATTGTCATGTGATTTATGACCAATTTTCTCAAAAATTATGAGTAGGCTTTTACCTTAATATTGCTGTTAAGTTGTAAAGCGCACATGCATAATTAGTACTTTATCGTCACAAACATTCTAAACTATTACAAAATTACGACACTCACTTTTGTTTTTGTTTTTAACAGCTCTCTAAAACAGGACGTTATATAAATTTTCTAAAGTAAAAATTCGCTTTGCATTACGAGGTCACCCCGACACACGAGGCCCATGCGTTGCTATAGGTTTCGTGTGTCTAGAATATACACAAGTATGTCACACAGGACATTATTCGTCCAGCCTTAAACACAATAATTCTCATTATGCAGAAAAAAAACAAGTGTTTCGTATATCGATTTGCGCATGTCCAAACCTATCGTCTCCCAATCAATATAATTTATGATTGCGGTTACAACGTAATGTAAAAAAAGCAATAACATTTTTAATCGTTTTGTCTGAACCTCGCTTCCCAATGGAATTAAATTTGAATGTTAATTATTTGTGTAAACCGGTCACAAAGGCGACTGTCCCATGAATCGACTTTTATGTTATGCCCAAATGGTCTATGATCGAATAAGGGCAATAACTGACGAGATCCCTCGATCATAGCTTTATATTATCTATATAAAAATGGTTATCTACTCTCATCTTATTTCCGAAATACTGGAACACCAGTATTATATATAGCTTACGGTTCGAAAGGAACAAAATTGGCAGATAATTTCAAAGCGTAAACTACATAGTCCTGGAAGTATGTAGACGTATGCTAACAATGAGTTTACTGAAAGAGGCCATGCAACATAGATTGACCATAGGAAGATATTCAATATGAAATGTACAACGTCCTAACTATTTCACACACCCCACTCTGTTTTACTAAATTAAATGTCCCAAGTTATCTATTTCATTTTACATTAATCATGTCTTGATCGTGTACACTAATTAGTGTGAATGCTCGGAGACTGATTATTTCTCTTGTGTAGCACAATAATTTATCTAATATTGTACAGATCGCCCTATGTATGTGCGTAAATGTACGTTGTCCCATCAATATCATCATTGTTATATGTTTATTGTATTTTTTTAAATCCATGTAGTACTATTGATTTTCGATTGAGTGTAGATGAATGGGTATGTCAGTGCTTATTTTATTTTAATACAGTTTATAGAGTTAGTTTCTATGATACCAAGTTTAAACGTCGGGCGGATGTATGGTGTTTAGTTAGCGTTGGCACACCTTTACAATGACGTAATTGCCACACTGCATTTGCGATATATGTATATGAGTAACCACACGTTTAGAAGGGCACGCACCCTCTGCGCTGCCTCTAAATCCGCTAATGCCCATATTATTATTATTATTTAAATTTGTTTGTATCCGACCTTTGACCGTATGTTGTATATTATCAGTTGTTGAATTCAGATAAAACAACACCAGTTAGAATACGTGTGTAATTATTAGTAACAAAATTGTGTTTTTTACAATTTTTACACCCGATATGATATGATTTGTTACGATACAATACGACATTAAATTACATGAAAAATGATCCTGCAATATTAGTCCATCAGCTGGGTCTAAAAAAAATGAGATTTTGTACTCATTTCGGGGGACCGGCTGGAATTGCTGTAAATGGCTTTTATAGGCCCTAAGCATGAACATTTTGTGCGATAGCCTTGTCCAAGTGGTAGCTTGGAGTTGTTGCCATGGAAACCAATTCTGGCAATTAGTATATAATACTCCATTCCTCATTCCTAAGCTTCTAAAATAAAATTGCCACCCAAAATCATCGTGTAATATATCAAATAAAAGCTATGTGAATGTAGAATGCAGATCTGCAGTCAAAATTTATATTAGTCATGTTCTTCTTTAATTATGTCAAATTTAATCATAAATATACGAGTTTTATGTATTTTTTTTCGAAAAATTTGTTATGTTATGACGTCTAGAAAAAAAATAATCTCAAGTATTCTCATTACTTCACGTATCAAA